CTGCATTGAAGGAATTGGCTCAAGGTGTAGCTGCTTTAAAGCAAGACAGGGCCTTCTACAATAAAAAGGATTCTCCCCAAACCCAGAGAGCTGAGAACCAGCTGCACAGGGACCTCGAGGAAGATCACAGTCACTGATGGTGCAGCAGGAATGGAAACATTTCCAGGAACTGTACACGGTCTGAATCCAAAAATTTCTCCAGGTCAACATTAAACTAGTACAGTTGCAAGAAAAAGTATGTGAACCCCTTGGGATTACGTGGAGTTCTGCATGAATTGGGCATAAAATGTGCTCTGAACGTCATCTAAGTCACAACAATGGAAGAACACAGTCTGCTGAACATAATACTACACAAACATTAGATGTTGCCATGGTTTAATTGCACATAACATATAAACATTCACAGTGCAGGGAGGAAAAAGTATGTGAACCTTTGGACTTAATAACTGGTTGACCCTCCTTTGGCAGCAATAACCTCAACCAAACGTTTCCTGTAGTTGCAGATCAGACCTGCACAACAATCTGGAGTAATTTTGGACCACTCCTCTTCACAAAACGGTTTCAGTGTAGCAATATTCTTGGGATGTCTGGTGTGAATCGCTCTCTTAAGGTCATGTCACAGCATTTCAATCGGGTTGAGGTCAGGACTCTGACTGGGCCACTCCAGAAGGCGTATTCTGTTCTGTTGCAGCCATTGTTTTGTTGAATTACTTGTATGCTTTGGGTCATTGTCCTGTTGCATCACCCATCCTCTGCGGAGCTTCAGTTGGCGGACAGATGGTCGTACATTTTCCTGCAAAATGTCTTCATAAACTCTGGAATTCATTTTCCCATCAATGACAACAATCCGTCCAGGCCCTGAGGCAGTAAAGCAGCCCCAAACCATGATGCTCCCTCCGCCATGTTTTACAGTGGGGATGAGGTTTTGATGTTGGTGTGCTGTGCCTTTTTTTCTCCACACATAGTGTTGTGTGTTCTTCCCAAACAACTCAATCTTGGTTTCATCTGTCCACAGTATATTTTGCCAGTAGTGCTGTGGAACATCCAGGTGCTCTTTTGAAAAACTTCAAACGTGCTGCAATATTCTTTTTGAACAGCAATGGCTTCCTCCGTGGTGTCCTCCCATCTCCTCCATTCTTGTTTAATGTTTTCCTTATTGTAGATGTGTCAATAAAAATGTTAGCATGTGCCAGAGATTTCTGTAGGTCTTTAGCTGACACTCTGGGATTCTTCTTTACCTCATGCAGCATTCTGCGCTGTGCTCTTGCCGTCATTTTTACAGGACGACCACGCCTAGGGAGAGTAGCAACAGTGCTAAACTTTCTCCATTTGTAGACAGTCTGTCTTACCGTGGACACATGAACATCAAGGCTTTTGGAGATACTTTTGTAACCCTTTCCAGCTTCATGCAAGTCAACAATTCTTGATCGTAGGTCTTCTGAGAGCTCTTTTCTGTGAGGCATGGTTCACATCAGACAGTGCTTCTTGAAACCAGTAAACCCAAAAGAGGTGGGTGTTTTTTAAGGGCAGGACAGCTGTCAGCAACACATCCAATATCATCACACTGATTGGAGTCAAGGTTGGCTCACTCCTGGCTCCAATTAGCTCTGGGAGAAGTCATTAAGCTAGGGCCTCACATACCTTTTCCTCCCTGCACTGTGAATGTTTACATGTTATATGCAATTAAACCATGGCAACATCTAATGTTTGTATAGTATTATGTTCAGCAGACTGTGTTCTTCTATTGTTGTGACTTAGATGACGTTCAGAGCACATGTTATGCCCAATTCATGCAAAACTCCACGTAATCCCAAGGGGTTCACATACTTTTTCTTGCAACTGTATTTCCCGGGGCAGAGGGAAAACCCCTGGGACTGGCTTGTCAAAGTCCCACTAGGCCAAAAGCCGTGGCCACCCCCAGTTCAGTGGTATCCTCCCTGGTCAATGGACAGGAAGTCCCATGCATGACTATCACAGGGTCAGAGGCCACTGTTATGGAATATGACTTCTATGTACAAAGATTTGCATGGGAACAGCTAGACCCTTGCTGTCTCTCCTTCCGAGCAGCCAACAACCTACCTATCCTGGTGGAAGGCTTCACCTGGCTGAATATCAAAATTGAAAACCTGGTGATGGAGCGAGTGGGAGTAGTAATGACCCATGGCCCCATAAACCCGGCAGTGCCTGTTGGGCTGGGAATTAATATATTGAAAGACCTGGACTTACCTCACTAGCCAAGTTTGAATGCTCAGGCAGATGAGCCCATAGCTTGGGCTTGCAAGCAGTGTTGCTCGGAGTGCCTCAGGTCTTTGAAGCCCAATGGAAGACAACAAAGAAACAATCAGAACAGGTAGGGGTGGTACGTACTACCCCTAGACAGAAGTTATTGATACCACCAGGGGTGTATCTGCCGCAACACAAACAAGGCACCTGCCTCGGATGGCATTTTTCAGGGGGGGGTGGCATCGCCGCCAGGCAGAAGGAACCAGTGCCATCTACAAAGAGCTGTGCTTAGGTGGGCTTATGTGTGCTAGGGAAGGGGGGGCAGGCTTGGCTGTGTTCGGCAGGGGGACGGGCTCGTGTGTGTTCGGAACTCTAGAGACCCTTATTTAAGGAGGGGAATCTGGATCTCTGGGGGACCCTGATGTATGGGGAGGGTCTATAGGTGGGGGGACTCTGGAGACCATGATGTAAAGGTGAACCCTGATGTATTGTGGGGGACTCTTGGGACCCTAATGTAAGTGGTAGGGACTATGGGGACCCGGATTTAAGGAGGGGGGCTCTGGGGGACCATGATATAAAGGGGGGCCTATGGGGACCCTGATGTAAAGTGGTGGGGACTCTGGAGACGACGATGTAAAGGATTGACCCTGATGTATTTGGGGGGGACTTTTGAGATCCTGATGTAAGGAGGGAGGACTCTGGGAAACCTAATTTAAGGAGGTGGCTCTGGGGGACCCTGATTTAAGGGGATGGGCTATGGAGACCCTGATGCTCATAAGGTGGGGGGACTCTGGAGACCATGATTTAAAGGGGGTAACCAGAGCCCCCACTTATATCAGAGTTCCCAGAATTCCCCTTTAATCAGGGTTACAAGAGTAACAACAGAATCTGCAGAGCCCCCCTTAAATCAGAGTCTGCAGTGCACCTGTCAGGAATGGACTAGCCAGCAATGGTGGGACTCACCTGCCTTTTGATCTGCAGTACCAGGGCTGGCCAGCGGGTGCTCCCAGCAATCAGAGACTCAACTTTGCAGCCAGCTAACACCTGGAACTGATTATGCTGGGGTATTTAAGGGATGGCCAGACTTGCAGACTCTGCCTTGGTGTTGTGTTTGTCCTGGGCCCTGTATCTGTCCTGCATCCTGTTTCTGTTCCTTTGCTACCTGTTCTGATCCCTGGCTTGTGACCCTGACCATCCCTCTGCCTGACCCTCTGTACTACTCTGCTTGCTACCTGTTCTGATCCCTGGCTTGTGACCCTGACCATCCCTCTGCCTGACCCTCTGTACTACGCTGCTTGCTACCTGCTGAACCTGGCCTGTGACCCCGACCATTCTCCGCTTGCTTGCTCCCCTGTACCTACCTGCCCAATTGATATTGACTCGGCCTGCCTGACGACGCTTGCTTGTATGTACTGTTATCTGTGGGTGGTTTGTTGGGTTTGTTTGCACTGTATTATGTTTAGTATTGCACTGCGTTTATGTTTGTATTGTTAGTGTTAATAAATTACATTGTTAATCACATATCTGAAGTCTGCGTTTCCCTGCTTCAGTCACACACCTCTGGTCATACCTGGGAGCCCTGACATTACACCAAGGCCAATCCTGACCAGAAGTGGCTGCACAGGGAAGCCATCTTGGCTTGTTGATGGGAAGGATGGATCTGGATGAGGTTGCGTATTTATATCTGCTAGTGTTTGATGACAGGGAGTATGCTTATCAAACTCTGAAGGAGTATACCCGGGATGAACTGCTAGAATGTATACGCCTCGCTCATGTTCTAGTAGATCAGGGCACAGAGTTCTCTGAGGTGCAGCCTTTGATTGAGGTTTGTGCTGAGTTGGTTTCATCTGGTTCCCCTGAATGCAGGGATGAATTTTTGCCACCATTTAGTGCAGACCAGGTAGAGTCCCTGGTGTGGTTATTAGAGGATGATGTGGGTTACTTTCTGGAGCGTTATTCCACATGTTCACCACAGACACTAAGAGATTGTATAAACGCAGTGCAGTCATTGACCAGACAGGCTTTGTGTAAGCTCAGCTTTGTTCAACCCATACTGCAGACATGGACAGACTTGTTGCACCCAGCCTCAGTCAGCTTACAAAAACCCAGTCCTGCTTCTAACTCTACTCCTGTATTCCCACCAGCTCCTCCAGTTACAGCCCAGTATACTTGGCTATCTACCGCATGTCAGTACCCTGTTCCCACTCGCTGCACCTATCCAGCCTTTAACCCTGTAAAAAAGCCCTCTGTAGCAACTGCTCCCTCTCCTGTTCCATCCTCCAGTTTTTCTCTGTCTCCAGCTGCTCCATTCGTTTTTGCAGACCTGCGTTTACTTGCAGTGCTCCAGTAGTTAAAACCAGAAAAAAGCGAAAATTCTTTCCAACCAATACCATCCTGCCAGTATCCAAACCGGTGAACCTGCCTTCCGTGACTCAGCCCGAAGCCTCTACTCAGCCCGAAGCCTCTACTCAGCCCGAAGCCTCTACTCAGCCGGAAGCCTCTACTCAGCCGGAAGCCTCTACTCAGCCGGAAGCCTCTACTCAGCCTGATGCCTCTACTCAGCCTGATGCCTCTACTCGGCCTGAAGCCTCTCTTCAGCCGGATGCCTCTCTTCAGCCGGATGCCTCTCTTCAGCCGGATGCCTCTACTCAGCCTGAAGCCTCTACTCAGCCTGAAGCCTCTACTCAGCCTGAAGCCTCTACTCAGCCTGATGCCTGCATTCAGCCTGATGCCGCTACTCAGCATGATGAACTGATCCAGCCCGACGATCCTATTAGGCCAGTTGACTCGATGCCCGCTGTTGATCCAGATGATCCGGTACCTGATCCAGTGCCCGCTGTCGTGCCAATTGACTCAGAGCCCGCTGTCGTACCTGGTGACCCGGTGCCCACTGCCTTGCCAGATGACGCGGTGCCTGCTGGCAAGCCAAATGACCTGATGCCTGGTGACCCAGTGCCCGCTGTCATACCTGGTGACCCGATGCCCGCTGTCGAGCCAGACAATCCGATACCTGATGACCCGGTGCCCACTGTCGTGCCTGTTGACTCGGAGCCCACTGTCTTGCCAGATGACTCGGTGCCCGCTGTTTCGCCAGTCGACTCGGTGCCCGCAGTCTTGCCAGACGACTCGGTGCCCGCAGTCTTGCCAGACGACTCGGTGCCCGCAGTCTTGCCAGACGACTCGGTGCCCGCAGTCTTGCCAGACGACTCGGTGCCCGCAGTCTTGCCAGACGACTCGGTGCCCGCAGTGTTGCCAGACGACTCGGTGCCCGCAGTGTTGCCAGACAACTCGGTGCCCGCAGTTCCGCCAGTTGACTCGATGCCCGCAGTCTTGCCAGTTGACTCGGTGCCCGCAGTCTTGCCAGACGACTCGGTGCCCGCAGTCTTGCCAGACGACTCGGTGCCCGCAGTCTTGCCAGACGACTCGGTGCCCGCTGTTCCGCCAGTTGACTCGATGCCCTCAGTCTTGCCAGACGACTCGGTGCCCGCATTTCCGCCAGTTGACTCGATGCCCGCTGTTCCGCCAGTTGACTCGGTGCCCGCAGTCTTGCCAGACGACTCGGTGCCCACTGTCGTGCCTGGTGACTCGGTGCCCGCCGCTTCGCCTGGGGGCCCGAGACCTGCCGCTCCGCCTGAGGGCCCGAGACCTGTCGCTCCATCTGGGGGTCCAGCGCCCGCCGCTCCGCCTGAGGGCCCGAGACCTGTCACTCCATCTGGGGGTCCGGCGCCCGCCGCTCCGCCTGAGGGCCCGAGACCTGTCGCCCCGCCTGGGGGCCCGATGCCTGTCGCCCCGCCTGGGGGCCCGATGCCTGTCGCCCCGCCTGGGGGCCCGATGCCTGTCGCCCGCCTGCTGCCCCGCCCGGGGGCCCGGTTCCTGCTGCTCCGCCCGGGGGCCCGGTGCCTGCTGCTCCGCCCGGGGGCCTGGTGCCTGCTGCTCCGCCCGGGGGCCCGGTGCCTGCTGCTTCGCCTGGTAATCCGATGTGACTCTGCCCGGAGTCCTGCCCGATGTGCCTCTGCCCGGAGTCCAGCCCGATGTGCCTCTGCCCGGAGTCCTGCCCGATGTGCCTCTGCCCGGAGTCCTGCCCGATGTGCCTCTGCCCGGAGTCCAGCCCGATGTGCCTCTGCCCGGAGTCCAGCCCGATGTGCCTCTGCCCGGAGTCCAGCCCGATGTGCCTCTGCCCGGAGTCCAGCCCGATGTGCCTCTGCCCGGAGTCCAGCCCGATGTGCCTCTGCCCGGAGTCCAGCCCGATGTGCCTCTGCCCGGAGTCCCCCGAAGTGCCTCTGCCCGGAGTCCTGCCCGATGTGCCTCTGCCCGGAGTCCTGCCCGATGCCTCTGCCTCTGCCCGGTGTGCCCCTGCCCGGTGTGCCGCTGCCCGGAGTCCTGCCCGGTGTGCCAGTCTTTGATATCCCGCCAGTTACCAGACCAGGGCGGTGGAACATTTTGCCCAGCTAGGACTGTTTGGAGCGTCCTGAGGCCGCTCCTTGAGGGGGGGGTACTGTCAGGAATGGACTAGCCAGCAATGGTGGGACTCACCTGCCTTTTGATCTGCAGTACCAGGGCTGGCCAGCGGGTGCTCCCAGCAATCAGAGACTCAACTTTGCAGCCAGCTAACACCTGGAACTGATTATGCTGGGGTATTTAAGGGATGGCCAGACTTGCAGACTCTGCCTTGGTGTTGTGTTTGTCCTGGGCCCTGTATCTGTCCTGCATCCTGTTTCTGTTCCTTTGCTACCTGTTCTGATCCCTGGCTTGTGACCCTGACCATCCCTCTGCCTGACCCTCTGTACTACGCTGCTTGCTACCTGTTCTGATCCCTGGCTTGTGACCCTGACCATCCCTCTGCCTGACCCTCTGTACTACGCTGCTTGCTACCTGCTGAACCTGGCCTGTGACCCCGACCATTCTCCGCTTGCTCCCCCTGTACCTACCTGCCCTATTGATATTGACTCGGCCTGCCTGACGACGCTTGCTTGTATGTACTGTTATCTGTGGGTGGTTGGTTTGGTTTGTTTGCACTGTATTATGTTTAGTATTGCACTGCGTTTATGTTTGTATTGTTAGTGTTAATAAATTACATTGTTAATCACATATCTGAAGTCTGCGTTTCCCTGCTTCAGTCACACACCTCTGGTCATACCTGGGAGCCCTGACAGCACCCCTTACATCAGAGTCTGCAGAGCACCCCTTACGTCAAGGTCCGCAAAGCCCCCCTTACATCAGAGTCCGCAGAGTACCCCTTACATCAGAGTTTACAAAGAACCCTTACATCAGAGTCCAAAGAGCCCCCTTACATCAGTGTCCATAGAGCCACCTTTCATCAGAGTCCTCAGAGTGCTTCTTACATCAGAGTCTGCAGAGCGCCCCTTACATCAGAGTCCGCAGAGCCCCTTTATACCAGAGTCAGTAGAATTTCCACTTACACTATAAGGGGGGTGTCTGTGGACTTTGGAATGTAAAGGGGAACACTGATGTAAGGGGGTCTCTGCTCACCAAAGCCCCCTCTGAAATCAAAGTCCAAAGAGCACCCCTTACATCTGAGTTCCCCTTAGAGAGGACACTTCATTCACAGACATGGTATGGAGGGTGAGCTCACTCACCCATAATGAAAGCTAGGGTATTGGCTGTGGGTACCTTTAAACTTCTAGCAGCTGGGCTTCACGCTTCCCACCCACACATCCCCTTTTTATGAGGCACAACACTGCTGGGGAGTGTAAGTGGGGCAAACACAGAAGAAGAGTGCCAGAGGAGGAGGCGCAGAACCAGCTATCTTTCCTCTCCCGTCCATGTGGGGGGGGGGACTTTCAGTGCTGGCTCTGGGTTGTTAGAGAGACTCTCTCAGCTAAGAGCCCTGCAGCTGCTGGAGAGCTACAGTCCGTGTTCTTGGGGCCCCCCACAGTGGTGGAACTCCAGGACCCAGACGCAAGTGCGACCTTTGTGACCCTAGTAGTTCCGCCACTGAATCTTATCCAAGGTCCACTTGGGGACAAATCTTAGTGCAGTTCATCAACTTGGGGGATACACCCATCACACTACCCAGGCACACCATCCTTGCTGACTTGTATGTATTCCTCCACAACTGCATTTCTGAGGTCAAACCAGGGGTGGAGGCTGTGTTTGCTCACCTACAGGCAACTATGACATCATATGACAAAGCCCAATACAAGTCAAGAACAACTGGATATCATGTTCAAAGATTTTCCCCTATCTCAACAGAAACTACTCCACCAACTACTGGAAAAACAACCTTTAGTGTTCTCCACTAGTCTGGAAGATTACAGGTTTACCGAAGCAATTGACCACCCAATTCACACCGGAGACACACCGTCCATCCGAGAACAGTACAGGCACATTCCCCCAGCTCTGTCCAGAGGTCAAGGACTTGCTCTGTAGCATGTTGCAGGGGTGTGTGATCCGGGAGTGTCGCAGTCCTTGGGATGTCCCCATTGTCCTAGTGCAAGAAAGATGGTGTGTTGCAGTTCTGTGTGTGCTATTGTAAACTTAATGCCTGCACCCATAGGGATGCTTACCCTCTGCCTCTAGTAGAAGAGTCCCCGATTCTTCTCCACACTAAACCTGGCCAGTGGCTACTGGCAGGTCTTGGTCTGGACCAGGACTGAGAAAAACCAAATTCATAACACCCATGGGACTGTTAGAATTCAACCAAATGCCCCTTGGCTTCAGCAATGCCCCCAGTACCTTACAACACCTGATGGAAAGATGTCTGGGAGATTTCAGCTTCAAGACTGTACTGATCTATCTCGATGATATCATCATTCTCTCCAAGACCTTTAAGGACCAAATCAAACATTTGGACAGGGTTCTAGGGAAGAATACAAAACACACCAGGGGTAGTAAGCTGGAGCCTAAGTCGGAACGCACCCCATACCGGGTGGTGGGGCAACCTCTCTACCCGTCTATGACCTGGTCTCTGAGGGGCCCAACCCTGCCAAGAAGCAGTTACATTGCAATATGCTGAGGCCTTTATTACTGGGTGGCAAGTGCTCCAAGGAGTCTTTTGAGGACCTCAAAGCTTTCGACCCTGCCGACCTCCTTCTGACACAAGAGGCACTCCTGAACTGGTTCTTGCCACCCCTTTAACTTGAACTTCCAGCCTCCAGTGACCGTGAGCCCAAAGGATCTGGAGCTGAGAATCCAGCTGAACTGGCCACCCTGACTAGTGCCACAGACTGTACTAGTCCAGGGGAAAATCCCACATGGGGCCCATGTGAAAAGCAGCCAGAGGATGTCAATGACCCCTTTCCACCTGTGACCCAGAGTCGCTGCCCTAGGATGAACTTTTACCAAGTGACTGGGTAAAATGGAGCAGCATTCCAGTTGACTACATTGTGCCCATATGACCCTTGGTGGCCATCTTTAAGTCCCATCTCCCGGGTTTTGGTGTTCTTCTGACATGTGGCTAGTGTAGGGAGAGAGACCCCGCTTGCTAGGGAAAGTAATTAGCGATAGGTTCCTGATGAGGAGGGAAAGATTAGGGGTTCCTATCCTGGAAAGGAGCTTCCCTCTTGGGACCAGACCAGCCAGGCAGTGATGATCTGTGATCTTCTGCCTGGTTGTTTGTAATGTTGGCATTCTATTTAATACAAGTTATTTAATACAAGTTCCAAGTTTTAGACTGCATATTTACTTTATGCTGCACCTCCCCCACACTAATCAAGTTCAAGTATGAATATTCATCAACTAGAGCAAAATAAACTGAAAATATTAGTGATTTGCCTTTTTTTCATCCCGTGTTACCGTTCTCCTGTGGTCTCCATACAGCCACTTTCTGTCTACATGCGTGCGCACAGGTGATGTTGTACTCCTGATGTTGACAATAGTGGGCCACAGCTGTGCAATATGTGTTTCAATTGCCACTTGTGGTCTTTGTAGGACAGGAGCATGACTGGTACACAGGGACAGTGCATTGTCACTCTATAGCAGAAAGGAATTGTTTTTTATGCAAGCTGCACATTTAAAAATAATGACTCTAAATTACATGAACATATTCAAGCTTATATGCAGAGGTGTAACTATGCATCATTGGACCCGTAGCAAAACTTTGATGGGACTCCTCCCACCTGGTACAGTACAAGGGACCCGTGCTTTGGAAAAAATAGAATGCAGTAACAAAAAAATAATAATAATAGTAAGAAATAGTATATAATGGTGGGTATACTCTCATATGTGCCATATCCCTAAGATATAACCAAAATATTTTTCAACAAACTTGGGATTTTAAAGACACTTCATTACAAGCATCAGGTAAAAAACT